AAAAAAAACCACCCCCCCCCCCCCCCCCGGGGGGGGGGGGGATGGCCACTGCACAATCCCTTTTCCATTCTCCTCTCGTGATCTTGGGCACTCATGCACATGCATCCAGTGTGAGTTTAAGCCACCGGGTCTGGGACTCGGACCACAGTTGACTACATGGAAGCCACATAGCCATTACACTAACTGCTGGTCCCAGTAACTCATTCTTACTGCCAGGCACAGTTCAGAGTGCTTTACACACTTTCATTCATTTAATCTCAGCAAATCATGTGGGTCATTTGTGAGCTCAGTTTGAAGCACAGAAAGGTAGTGTGGGTGGCCCCGGTCATCCACCTGGTTGTCCACCAGGTCGTCCACCAGGTCACCCACCAGGGATGAAGGAGAGGCACAGTCAGATCGACCAGTCTGCTGCTGTGCTGTCCTACAGCTCTGCCTTTCTAGCCAGAGCAGAACAGTGCCTGGGGCTTTATAGGGGCCCGGCAGATGGTACTCAAACTCTTTGAGGAGAATAAAGAGGTATTTGTAGTGGTAAAAGGATTAAGGACTACTGTCTTAATCTTTTATTTGGCAAAGTGGAGGCTGCTGACTGGAGGCTAGTTCTGTTTCTAGAGCTACATCTGTGCATATTGGGAGTTTTCCTCAAAGTAGAGACATGGTTACATGGTCTCTGAATTGCATTTTTTATTTTTGAAGTTTATTTCTTAGAGACAGACACACAGAAGGGCACCCCCAGCACAGTTCCCATGCCACAGTCCGCTCTACCTTCAGCCACCCTAGATTATGGGCACACATGTGTGTGCCTGGTGTGAACAGAGAGCTCCTGGCTGAGCACCCAGGACCTCCCTCCCAGTCGTGTTATCATCGCACTACTGCCTGACCACTGTGAACTGCTTTTAGGTGTCTCTGTTTCCACCTGTAAGTGCCTTAATAGTCGAGTTTGAAGGCATTCCATCAGCTCATGAAAGCAGTATTTTTCCATAAGCAAATGAAGCATCACTTGTTTTTCCAGTCATTGATAGTGAAACATAGTCACTTGACCTGACTGAAAACTAGAAGACATAAGATAGATTTATTGAATTCCGAATTCCATTCTTTTTTTTTTTTTTTAAGAGAGATTTTTACATTAGTTGCATGTGCTTGCTGAGACAGAGACAGCGAGAAATCACCCCCCAGAGGGGAATGGCCACACTACACTCCCTTCTCCATTCTCCTCTTAGGATTTTAGGTATGCACACACACACCTGTTTCAAGGCTCCAGGTCAGGGACTCAAACTGCTCGGCCACGTGGGAGTCCAGGGACATAACCATTACACCATTCTTCCTACATAATAGAAATCTCTACACCAAGGCCCAACTGAGGTCACACAGCGATAGGGGACCACCATGTGATGTCAGAACCAGCTGGGAGACCCAGGTTTGGATCCTGGGTTGACTGAAACACACCTGGTGGGATCTTGTCTGGCTGGGAGGTTAGAGTGGGCTATCATGGTATAGTGAGACCCTGTCTGGGATTCCCGTCTCTCTGTCTTTCTCTGTTTCTCATGGAAGAAAGGAACTTTTTAAAAAGGAACTTTTTAAAATCTCTACACTGAGCATTTGGAAGTCCCATAGAATTACAGATGTAGAAGAAATAGATCCGAGGGTTTCAATAACTTGCCCCCTCACTTGTCTGACAGTGGCACATGTTGCCTGATTCCTGTGTACTGCTCTTGTTAGCAGTGTCCCGCCAGCTATCCTGAACAGAACTGTTCAGCCCGGATACTGAGAGGAGTGTCAGCATGATCAAGTTCTTCAGTAGATGCTTAATAAACGTATGTGGAAAATTACGTGCCAAGTATTGAGGATATGAAATTGAAAATTGAATTTCTGACTTCAGTCACAAGAAACAGATATATTAGAATTGAAAATTGAATTCCTGACTTCAATTACAAGAAACAGATATTTTGGGTCATCGGGAAAGTCATGTCACATTTTTCCATGGAAAAATATGTCATGGCTTTTCCCACAACCTAATACAAGCAGATAATCATGAGATAGATGGATAAGGAGTACAGTTAGGGTGCTTTTTCCTTTTTTTTCTTTAACTGCTGGAGGGTACACGTGCTCACCAGAGAGAATGCATCCTCCCAGTGGGACACAGTCATGCTGCAGTCCTGGTTCTTTCATTTCTCCATCCTGTCTGTATTTTGGGTACACTGCATATGTGTTTGTGTGTTTTTCAAGCTATGAGGGCTTGGATTTGATCCCTGGTCGGCCACGTGGGCTCCAATTCCTAAGTCACGAACTTAAGGGACCGAGACTTCTTTGTATTCTTTAAGTGCTTTGTACACACGATTGTATAAACTTTCTACATGAGGGAATCAGATAACTTATTACAGAATAGTTGTCATGAAGCAAAGCTCAAAACACTAAGCTTTTTGTAAGTAACATCAGCACAGCTAATATATATGAATTTAAAAGTGACTGGCATACACGGGCTGTGATACATATTTGTGTGTGTGCACACTCATGTTTGTTCAAGCATCTCTTGCTGTTTCTACAGAGCGGTTGCTGATCAAGTGACTATGAGTCTGCTACACTGTGAAAACAGCTGTGGGTCCAGCCAGCCTGGGAGCGACTGCTGTGCTGCCATGGCCAGCTCCTGCAGCATGACAGCCAAGGACGACAGTGTGAGCGGGACTGCCAGCACAGGGAACCTCTCCAGCTCTTTCATGGAAGAGACCCAGGGCTATGACGTGGAGTTTGACCCGCCCCTGGAGAGCAAGTATGAGTGCCCCATTTGCTTGATGGCATTGCGGGAAGCAGTGCAGACCCCATGTGGCCACAGGTTCTGCAAAGCCTGCATCATCAAATCCATAAGGTATGTGAGCATGAGGAGCATGGTTTCCTGAAACCGAGCCGAGCACAGAGGACGTCATTACATAGGAGTGCCACACTATTAGGAAAAAAGAATACTGGACAAAATGTTTGCTTTCTTTTTTTTCTTTTTAATATTACCAGAGGGCACATGTGTACTAGGGAGAGATGGAGAGAAAGAGCCTCCAATGGGATGTGTCACGTTTCACTCCCTTCTTCATTTCCACATCCCATCAGGGTTCGAGGCATGCACACACATGTGCCAAATATGTTTTTCAAGCCAGTAGCACCAGGATTCACACCATATTCGACCATGTGGGATCAGGCTCCTTGTGCATAGCACTTAACTCCTGGGTTACGGGGCCAGCCCCAGACAGAAAAATTTTAAGTTAGATGTTCACCAGTATTTTTAAAGGAGGCATTAACTCAAGGCTCTACCTCCTTATTATATCCAAAGTCTCGTACCCCTCACCGCCTCCCCTACTGCGCCTGGTTCTGGATCACTATCCGTTCCGACAGCCCCCCAGCTTCTGCTCTCTCCTTGCAGCTTTTCCCAGTACAGCAGCCAGCATGAGCCTGATAAGTAAGACAAAGCCACCTCTGCCCAGAACTTTGCAGCAGTGTATCTGGGCACAGCAGAGTGCTTACAAACCCCTGTAACATGCCTATGGCATGTTTTCTTAGTTTCCTCCACTGTACTCACCCAGTCTTTCTCTTGCTGGGGCTCAGATTGGCCACTCTACATTCCCTCTTTGCTAATGTTTGCATGTATCAAGTGTCCTCCTGCCCTGGTGAGTGGTTTTCACTGTTCTCTTTGCTTGAAAAGCCTTGCCACAGCTAATGCCATAATGCACGCAGTGTGGCTCAGACTGGACTTCCTCAGAGGTCTTTTAGCTACTCTGTTTAAGTCATGCCTCCACCCTTCCAGCTCCACCACTGTGGTCTCCATCACCAGGTTCTGCTTTATTTCCGTTGCAGTTCTGCCCTCTTAAATGCTTAGGTGTTTATTGTCTACTCACCTTACTGGAAGATAAACTTGAGAGTAAAGGTTTAGATCTATTTTGTTTCTTGATATTTCCCAAGTGCCAGGAACAGTACCTGACCCATAGCGGTACTCACTGAATCAGAGTCACTTTACCTGAATGAAGTATATTGGATTTCCACACGATTAAATTTTATCTCCTAAGAAATAAATATTGGGGGACCAGCAGTTAGCGTAATGGCTATGTCGCTGTACTCCCACCTAGTCTACCGTGGTTTGAGTCCTGGACCCGGTGGCTTAAACTCACGCTGGGCGTTTGTGTGTGCGTGCCCAAGATCCTGAGAGGAGAATGGAGGAGAAGGGATTGTGGCGTGGCCATCCCCCCTGGGGGGTGATTTTTCGCTTTCTGTCTCTCTGTCTCTCTCTGGTGAGTGCATGCGCCCTATGGCAAAAACCTCTCCAAAAAAAGAAAATAAAAGAAATAAATATTATATTTCACTATAATTTAAGGGTAAATAGGAATATTTTTAGGTGATAAGCGGTTGTAGACAGGACAAAAATATTAGAAGACATTGGGAGGTTGTATACGTTCATGAATAGCCATTAGTTGTATTGGTGTCTCTCAGCTTTTACATTAACTTTTGTATAAAATTTGAATTGAGGGTAACTGTATCCATACTCTATGGAGTAGGCTTAATTTCAGCTACAGGGAAGCATATCTTTGTTTCAGTTTTGGAGAAAAAAATACATTATCTTGTGTTGAATTGACAAGATGTAGTAGGGCTTTTTCAGCTTCATCATCATTGATGTTTTGGTCTACAGTCCTTTGTTGTGCAGAATGTCTTGTGTGCTAGAGGATGGTAACAGTGTCCCTGTCCTCTGTTCACTGGAAGCTATCTCCTTCTCCCCCAGTTGGGAGGCCAAGATGTCCTTTGGGAGAGAAACTTGTCCCTGGTTGAGTCTGTTTGTTTAGAATATACATGAGAGAGTGTTACAGCTTTTTTCTGTCTAGAATGATTTTTAGTTATGTTGTATTTAGATAAACATGGTACTGTATTATGGACTGTTGGAGTTTTTTTTTGTTTTTTTTTCTTTTGGAGAAGTTTTTGCTATAGGGTACGTGCGCTCGCCAGAAAGACACAGAGACAGAGAAACGGAAAGCGAGAAATCACCCCCCAGGGGTGATGGCCATGCCGCAATCCCTTCTCCTCTCAGGATCTTGGGCACAGACACACGTGCACCCGGCATGAGTTTAAGCCACTGGGTCCGGGACTCGAACTACGGTCAACTACATGGGAGTTCAGCGACATAGCCATTATGCTAACTGCTGGTCCCTGGACTGTTGGTTCTTCTATAGGTATAAATGTACAGTGAAGTATTTACCAGGTATCACCCAGGACAGGAGAATACTAATCTTTAGTGATTTTTTTTTTTAATAAGTGGTGCTTGTGTGTGTTTGTTTGTTCTATTGTTATTGTTAATTTGCCAGAGGGCACATACACTTGCCAGAGAGAAAACAAGAACAAATCCTCCTTGGGGTGCAGTCACCCTGTAGTACCTACCCCACTGCTCCTTCCTTTCCAGATTTTGGGCATGTGCCTGGTTTGCTTTATACACCCCTAGGTCTGGGACTTCAGCTGCCTTAATTAGTATGCCATAGGCTAGCCCTTTAGTCATTTCTTTAGTAGCAACTTGTTTATGAAAGTAATGAGACAGTGGTCTGAAAAGGAAGTAAAACACACAAACAGAAGTCTGAAGCTTTTTCTATACCTTCCTCTAAGCTGGCAGTGACCATGCTCTTTGCTCTGATGTTCTGTTTTTGTTCTGTTTTTGTTTTTGCAGCAGTTTGCTTTTAAATCTTTTAAGAATGAATTTAATTTTATTTACTCATTCATTTTATTTTTTAATTCAACCAGAGAGAGAGAGAAAGGAAGCCGCCAGGTCCAGGACTTGAACTGTGGTCAGCCATGTGAGAATGTCCAGTGCCTAAACCACGACGCCACTTGCTGGTCCCTTGCTCTGATGTTCTTAAGGAGCTGCTCTGCAGTTTCTTGTTGATTGTGGTCACCTGTGGTCCAGATGCTTGTTGGTCACTTTCTCTTGGTGTGACTGCTTACACTGTAGGTGATGGTTCTCAGTTCACTTTGGAAGGTGCATCTTATTTTTTCTGAGACATGCATCCCGTTAGGTTTGGGATACTTATTCCAATAAATCTACTTATGGCTTCCTGGGCTTGTCAGAGAATATTTGACAATATGCCAGTAACATTGTGCAGTCTGAGTGAGGCCCCATCAAGGTCAGCTCTGTCTCTCCTTTGAGTCCTAAGCCATTTGACAGTCACCTGAGCTGTGGTTCAGTCATCTTCTTTCCTACCACAGCAACCATGGAGCATATAGGAGGTACTCAGCAAACTGAGCAACTGAGCTTCTGCACCTGCCACATCTTACGAGTGAAGATGGAGATATCCCTCCAAGCTAAAGGAAAAGACAGACACCAAAAGTCTCGTCACGAGGTGTGGTAAACCACTCGAAAGTGGACACGGTGACCCCGTGACTGCCTGTTGCATTGCACCCTCTTTTTTCTTAGCTGGAATCTTTCCCACAGTCTAGAACTCCATCCTTTTGATAGGTGATCAATTTGGTGGTAGTTTTACTCATTTTGTAATAATACTATGCAATAATAATGTGCTATTTTTCTATAGGAAATAATAAATGGAGAATTTATGTGTGGTAAATTAGTTATTTGGGTTTTCTAGTCTGATCATGTAAATCTACTAATTGTGCACATCTTATTTGCTTCCCTTAGGGATGCAGGTCACAAATGTCCAGTTGACAATGAAATACTGCTGGAAAGCCAACTGTTTCCTGACAATTTTGCAAAACGAGAGATTCTTTCTCTAATGGTGAAGTGTCCAAATGCAGGTTGTTTGCACAAGATGGAACTGAGGCATCTTGAGGTATTAAAGTTATTTTCTAGCTCTTAGCATGTTTGCAAGGCAGTACCTAGAGAACAGAAACTTTGCTGTCTCTGTGTATTGTCAGTACTTAGCATGTACTAATTGGTTCATTAGTTTTTGCTGGGTAACACCAGTTTCTTTATTATTACATGTAAATGTAAGTTTCTAATTCTACCTGTTTGGCTTTGCCCCAGCGATAGTAAAGAAGTCAGTATTCTACACGTTTTTTGGGTGAGCATTATATGAGGAAAACTAAGCATTTTAAATACAGGTGTCACATTTTAATCCCCTAATTTCACTTCTCGCATTTTGAAATAAATCCCATGTAGCCATTATCTCAGTATTTTTTTATACCATTTTCTGTGAACTAAATGAAATACTCTTATAGTTTGAGAGATTAGCTGAAGTATAATAAAAGAATTGCCTTTAAATTAAATTAGTTCTTGATATTTTTTACCAGAAATGAATAATGTTAACTTTTTTTTTTTTGATTAAATGTTTCTGATAGATTTGCAGCTTGCCTATCTTAGCCCTTTTTGAAGGAGTGGCCTTTGGACCCAATACTGAATTGATAGGAAATCTAACTTCTTTCCAGTTCTCTTCACTGATGAGATGTGTGACCTTGTGAATCCACAATCTTTGTATAAAATTGTAGTCTGAGGGCCAGCAGGTGGTGTGGTGGTTAAGGGACTGGCCTGCCACATGTTCGACCATGGACCATGAGTCCTGAACCCAGCAGCTTGAAACTCATGCTGGATGCAAGTGTGTGCATGCCCAAAATCCCAAGAGGAAAATCGAGAAGAAGGATTGTGGCATGGAAGGATGATGTCTTACCCTGGGGGCTGATTATCACCTTTGTGGGGTGATATCTCAATTTCTGTCTCTCTCTCTCTGTCTCTCTGGTATGGGCACATGTGCTATAGCAAAAAATTTTTAAAAAAATTTGTAATCTACAACTATCTGAAAAAATTGATTAAGACCTTAATATGTGAATGGTTCTGTGTGTACTAGAGAAAGTAAGAGAAATCTGTGGTCTTAGAAAAGAATGCATTTAGAAGACTTGTTCAGGTTTGGCAAATACTGATCAATTATTTTTTTCCTGATAGGATCATCAAATACATTGTGAATTTGCTCTTATAAGCTGTCCTCAATGCCAGCGCCCCTTCCAGAAATGCCAACTGGATATTCACATTCTCAAGGATTGTCCACGGAGGCAGGTTGCATGTACAAATTGCGCTGAATTGATGGCATTTGAAGAAAAAGAGGTATGTACAGACTTGGGTTTGTCAATTCCACTGTTTCCTAAGAATATGTTTTTAAATGTGTATTTGTTATGGTTAGCAGTAGATAAGGATGTGACTTCAACTCTGAGTCTTCATGATCAATTTGGGGAAAATTAATTTTTAAGAAAACGGCAGGTAGTGGCATGATGATGATGATGCAGCTGGATGCACCTGGGAAGGTCCTGGGTCCTCCTTAAATGTATCAGCTATGCAAGAGCTCCTGATCGAGGCCAGCTGAGACTGGGTAAAGACCCTGTTGGGTGTACCTGTCACAGAAGATATAAATAAATAAACTTAAAAAACAAATCGCTGTCCAATAATTTTATTTTAAAAGTTTGATAAATCATTTTAGCTAAATAGTTTATATTTGCGTCTTACAGAGCATTGTTTGTTCTAGTTACCACTGTCTTACATATGTAAGTAATAAAACTTCTAGGAAAAGCATATACTGATTAAGTATTCCTGTGTGATATTTTAGTGACCAGTCTTAGAGACAAAAAAGTAGAATGATTATTGTATACAATGGTTACTCTATATAATTACTGTATACAAAAAGTAGAATGATTACTATTTACAATAGAATTATTTTGTAGAAGAGAATGGGTCATTACAATTATTACAAAGAATAAAATCCCACAAAGTATGTTCCCTTAGTGATAATTCACTGTGTTATACACATTTAATGTGTTCATTTTTCAATTTGTATGTTATACTTCAATTGAAAGTTTATCTCTTTTTTTTCTTTTCTTTTTTTTTTTTTTGGAGAGGTCTTTGCTACAGGGCGCATGTGCTCGCCAAAAGGACAGAGAGAGAGAGACAGAGAGACAGAAGGTGAGAAATCACCCCCCAGGGGGGATGGCCATGCCATAATCCCTTCTCCATTCTCCTCTCGGAATCTTGGGCACACATGCACGCACATGCACCCGGTGTGAGTTTAAGCCACCGGGTCCAGGACTTGAACCACGGTCGACTACATGGGAGTCTAGCGACATAGCCATTACGCTAATTTTTATCTTTTATAAAAAAAACTTTACGATACCTATAAAGAAACAGGACAGTATCATAAAGATAGAGTGATTTTTTTTCATTCAAAAACTGAGTCACAAGTTAAGTAGTTTTATATGGTTATTATCAATGGAAAAGCCAGCACCAAAGTCGTAGCCCCTTAATCACTATTCTATATGAAAGTTACTAATATAACTTACATAAAAAGTTTTTTACCCATTACTTAGCTACTTCCTTAGACTTTAGTTACCATACATTTGTGTTAATAATCCTCCATACTTGTTTAAGTAATTATTATCTTTATTCATACATTCAATTGCTATACATCGTTTAGATTGTAAAGAGACTTTACCAAGTATGAAGTACACCTCAGTCCATCCAGCCCAGTTGAAAATACTATACACATCCTCGTCAATAGATAACAAACCATATCTGTGTCCCACAAGTGTCTTATCTCTCAGTTTTTTTCCCAAATTTCCTTTCCTACGCT